GATGTTAATGTCATACTATTGCATATCTTGTATTGTGCACAATTGTACGACAATACTACGCAACAAGTACCTCTCCTCACGAGCATGTCGATTGCATTAGGGCTTGCACCTTTTTTGCCACTTAAAATTTGAGCAGCATCAACGCTCAAGAAGCGCACAATGCGCTTGGAATTTCCCTCCTCGCATGCACCCTCCAGTACCTGCTCCTAAGACCTCGTCTGTGCCGGGATTCTACCTCTATCAAAAATCTGAGCGAGCATATAAGAGAAACGCGGTCCTTGCAACCGACAACATCAGGAACTAACTGGTAAAGATGCTGACGTGTTTTAAGCACAGTAATTTTTAAGTCCCGACGACACCTCCACTTGTCAAGATACAAACGATCGAGCCGTTTACAGACAAAGAGGCGGACTCTGAGCCTATCATATCCAGTGCATGGGATATATACTTCCTGTTCATAATCTACAGGAAGTGAATAGCTCCGCGCGGAATTCACGACGACGTCCACCTTGTCATCAATGAGCTAGCCCTGGCTCAGGTAGCTCGGTTTGCTCGGCTGCAAGCGCAACAGTCGAAATGACTATTGCCGATCTCACCACGCTGTGGTTATGATCTCAGTACAGCGAATGCCACTCGCCGCACTGGAGCGGATCGATTTCACGCCCATGTGTGCAAGCTTTCCAATTACACAAAGGGGCGAACCGTGCCCAAAAATTGCTCTGTGAGCGCTCTCTGGCACACATCCTCAGGGGTAGTAGTTGCACCTGGTAAATTCGTACAACTAGAACTTGAGCGACAGTGCCCATGAGTGTCACATCGCGCGCTGGATGACGAAGATACGTCGCCTCACTACAAAAAGGCGCTGCTCTCAAACAGCCCCTCAGACACGACAGGCACGCTTGTGCGACGACGAAGCGATTTCGGACGTGAAGGTAGAAGAACAGTCTAGACTTGGAAGCAAAGAGAATGACTTAAGCCCGTTAAAGCAAATTCGCAACTGAAGGAGTTTCTAGCTACATGCAAAACACTCCTAGGGCTCCCATATGTTTTACCGATAAAAACTTGGGTTCCTGATTGATAAGTCAAGAGTTTACGAAGGTTTCCCTCAGATTGAACTAAGGTACGATCTTGGATGTACGGAGCTTGAGCTGTGAAAGCTTGAACTTCAACTAACGTGGGAAATATCCAGTTGAAGGGACTGGCTTACGCCACCACTTCGAAAGTCAGAGACACGTTGATCTCGTCACCAGTACAGATTCCCAAACCGTTTGTGACTTCATATAAGAGATCAAGTATGCCTTCAGAATACCATATTGTAATCTTCTCTTATTAATTCCCACAATGCATAAAGAAGGTTTCTTCATGTAACGGCTATGTGTAGCCTTTACACTCACCCGTCGCACAATTTCAGAGGCAACTTTGGGTGCAGATATTTAAATTGAGCGCCATTTATTACTTCACAAAGTGAGAAGCACGACCTGGTTGTGCCGAGTCATAAGCGGTGTTGGCTATAACAGCATTGCCTATATGAAATCCATAAGTCCCATGTTTTTGTTAGGTGTGACACTTCCTGTTAACCTCAGACTAGTAATAGCCTTGGTATACCCGCCGGTTCATATACCGCTCCACATAAAGCTGGGTCCCTCCTTACTCATTAAGCAAGTTCCACCAAGCGTTGTGATGACCAGGATTCATTCGCGTCTGGTGCCGTTGTAACAACTGTAATTTTAGATGGAAAAGGCGTAATTAAACTTGACGGTGGCGCCTCCTTGACAGCACATCTCGCCATATTTGCGTCAGCGGCGTCTCGTCCTGTCCCAGGACGATCGTCTACAGCTGTCTTGGTCTATGAGTGGAATATACCGGATCACTGCGCAGCATAATGCTTCATGCAAACCTTTCGACAAGCAATATGCGCTTGCAATTCCCGCACCGGCACTTCATTTGATGTGACATGTGGTTTGCCCGGCCCGCATGACCAAATAAACTAGCTAAGTGCACTGCTGTGAGCTAGCTCTGGTGTCACAGAACACATTCATTGTAGAGTCTAACTTCTCGTTTCTTACATACTGCAAATTACATTTACCTGTTGGCTGACTGACCTCTCACCGAGAGCTACTTGCAGTGCAATCAAGCTGTCGATCTGCGCAATAAAAGCAGTCAATTGTCGGAATAATGAGTTCCGGAGGTTAAACAATTGCTAAAATGAGTTCAAAATTCTTAACGAACCGGTGTCTGATATGGTATTAATTAGGCAAAATAGGCAAATGTCTGGTCTAAAGTATAGTTGGTATTAGCTAAGCTTTTGCAGCTTAGCTTAGCTTTACAATATTCGGAGCTAAGCTATTTAGCTTTAGCTTTTTCAAATCTCAAGCTAAGCTAAG